TCATCAAGAGGTATAAGGTTTGTTTTAGTAACATTTTTACTAGTAGCTTGTGTACCATCAACTTGTACTTCCCCTGAATATGGATCATCATGCGCCTGCGGTTTGAAAAAAAATTCAACAAAAGTAGCAAGATGAGGTAAGACATCAATGTTAGTCTAAGCTTGACTTGGAGGCACAAAAGGTAATGTGTTTTCATCAAAGACAACATGTCTGGACACACACACTCTGCTTGTTGATGGATGATAACATTGTGTAAGTTGTTATATCCTATCAACACACAAGGGTAGGTCTTTGGACTAAACTTGTTACTATTCTTGATATAGGGAAAACACCTACAATCAAAGACTTTTAGGCTATTATAATCACGCTACTCACCATATAACTTAACAAATGGAGCCATCATTTTTAGGACTAATGAGGATAGTCTATTAATAAGAAAAACTGCAGTGAGAAATGTCTCAACCCATAGAAACAAAGGAAGGTTTGCACGAAGTAGGAGAGTTAATCCAGTCTCAACAATATGTCTAGTTTTCTTTCTGAAACTACATTCTGTTCAGGTGTGTTAGGACATGAAATATGCCTAACATTACCACAATCTTTCAGATATTTAATGAAGTTTGTTTTGATGAACTCACATCCTCCACACACTAGAATATCTTAATCTCTTAAGAAAACTAGTTTCCCGCCATTTTTTGAAATTTTACAAATACTTCAAAAAATTCATACTTCCTTTTCAATGGAAAAAGTCAAGTATACTTTGTGTGATCATCTAAAAACATTATATAATATCTCATATGTTGAGAGGATGGGCAGGACCCCACATATCACAATGAATTTTTAATAAAGGTTCCTTCTCAATTTTATTTCTTTAGCCAAATGAAAGCTTAAAACTTTTGCCCAACCGACAACTACAACAAACAGTGGGCATTTAATTACAACTACTAACATTGATGCAACTATTATTATTCAAAACTTTTAATGACTTCAAATTAGGATGTCCTAATCTAGTATGTCACATGTTGTCTGATGTGTTCCAATCGTATGCAACGATATAAGCATAAAGATTGTTGTCTTTCAAAACATAGAGTCCACTCATCTTAGATCCATAGGTCAGTAGTGTCCTTGTCTTCGATCTTGTCCTTTATAACAAAGTTAATTTCATCAAATTCAAGAGTGCAACAATGATCCTTTGCAAGTTTACTAACTGATAGTAGATTCTTATTAATCTTAAGAACTACAAGAACTTCTTGTAATTTCAATCTTGATCTAGTTGTGTTCCTAACATGTGTTATGTCTATTTGTGATCTATTCCCAATAATGATTTTATATGGTCCATTGTAGTGTTTAAGATCAAATAGAATACATGAGTTATCTATATGACTACTTGCTCATGAGTCTACATACAAAGTATCATCAGTAACATATGTATTCTGTAAGTTAACAACAACCAATGTTTGTGGCAGTTCATTTGCAGGTTGATAAGAATGGTCCCACCTTTAAAAATACTTAAAGAGCAATATGATTATTCCTACCACAAATTTAACATGATTCAGTACTATTCATTTTATAGTTTTCACTTAAGAAACTTTGATTGTTATGAGACCCTGTTCCATATTGGTCGTTCTGAGAACCTGCTCCTTGTCCAGCAGGTTTGAAGCCTCTTCCTCTGGAGTTGAAGTTGTTTCCTTTTCTTTGAGAGTAATTTCCTCTTCCCCGACCCTTTTTCACAAAGAATGTCATGTTATTTTTCTATTGTGGCACCTCTTCTTCATCCTTCCTTATATGAAAATTCCTGAGATCATTAACAAATTGATTAAGAGTGGGATATGGTGTCTTACCTAGCATGATAGTCCTGAAGGTCTTCTATTTGAGACTTAAACCTTTGGCAAAATTGATTACTTTGCTATCTTTATCCACAAGTGTGTGAATGGCTGGAAGGCCATCACATATGCCTTCAAATTCCTTAATGTATTCATCAATCTTTTTGGTTCCTAGCCTACACTTTACAATTGTTGTTTAAGCTGAAACTCCTTATCTGTTGTTGCTTGAAGATAAGTTGCTTCAAAGAATTCCCACATCTCCTTGGCAGTTGAGCAGCCCACAATCGGGTATATACTTTCTTCTGTCAAGGTGTTTGAGATCCAACTCCTTAGCAACACATCTTTCTCCTCCCCATCATCAATGTTGCCACCCTTCTGCATCCTTCTCAACTGCTACATCTTTCTCAACAAACTTTCAAGTGGAACAACTACCTCTAGTTGGTTCATTCTTAGTGATGAGGTAAGTTAGTCTCATTACCTGAATCAACTGCATCATTTGTGTCCTTCATATGAGATAATTTGTTGGCTTAAGTTTAATGAAACATGAGGCAATGAGATGATGAAAGGAAGAGGTGGAAAGAGTATTTGTAGAGGCGTGTGGTTACTTTAGATTCAATACTTAGCGAGTGGAAGAGCTTATGAGCTCTGGTACCATGTTGAAATTTCACGTAAAGAATAAGAGAAATCAAGGATTGTTTTGATGATTAAAATAGTTGAGTACATGCTCCTTATATATGAGTGATTATAGAGTCCTAGGTTAGCTATACTTAGAGTTCTACTACAATACAAATTTACAAGAGTAGTTAGTGGTTGACTACTACTACTACAATAACACTACCTACAACTATAACTTGTCATAGTCGACTACTACTAATACAAGACATAGCAGCCTAGTCGACATTTAGTAGCCTAGTGTGACTCTAACTCTTCAGCAGTTAACAGTTGTAGACATTGATCTTACGAGGTTGTTCAACCCGTTCCATATCTTCAGCTTCCCTTATCTTCAACACTTGGTCGTACCAGGTTGCTCAACTTGTTCCATATCTTTAGTTTCTCTTATCTTTAAAACATAGTACCAGTGAGTTTTCTTTATATTCTTGTTTTTGGGTGTATCCCACTAATAATAGCGACATTATGAGTTTGGAAACACATATTTAGTTCTATCCATGTTTGTATATCATACGTATTTATATATATGATCTAAAGTACTGAGTTCTGCTGAACGTATGGTTAAATTTGTCACTCATCTTGCACCAAATTCTAATGCTAACTTTAAATATCGAATGATAGGGGAAATCTGGGAAAATCTGTGGAGGAAGTACAAAAGTAAACTATCAAGATCATAGGCATGATCACTGAAGGTCTAGGACTTAGTCCTACATATCTAAGCCAAAATGTGAAAGATGGAATAAATGCAATTGCTGTCAATTGTTATCCTCCATTCCCACAACCAAGCCTTGCACTTGGACTTCCACCACATTCAGACTACAGTATCCTACAAACACCCTTTAAAGCTCAAATGGACTAGAAATTTGGACTCACTAAACAATTAATAGAGGCCAGTCCAAAACCTTCATGATACCTTACAAGTTCATGTAGGTGACCATCTTGAAGTACTAAGTAATGGCTTGTACAAATTAAAAGTGTGGTACATAGGGTGATATTGAACTCTCATAAAATAAGAATTTCAGTTTCTAGTTTGCATTGTTTGTGAATGGATGAGAAAATGAAGACAGCTGAAGAACTAATAGTGAATGATGAAAATCCAAAGAGGTATAAAGAAAGTAGCTTTCCAGATTTTCTCAAATTTCTACATGAGAATGATATTGGACAAGGTAGTAGCTTCCTCATGACAGTTAAGAAAAACTATATGTTGGCTTAAATATGGAATAAAAGGGAAACAAAGCAATGTGTTGTATAATGACTAATGAGTTTAGTTTTTTTGAACAATATTTTTACCCTTCAATCAAATACTATTCATACAATTACAACTAGATAACATAAGCTACGGGAGGGTCAAACAGGGGAAAAGAGGCAGAAATCACAAAATGGCCATGAGAGTCATTACGTCAATTCAATGCACGTGTCTTGAAACCACGTATACAAATTCAACTGTATTATTTTACGGGTAACCAGTGAGGTTTGAATCTTGTATAATGATAACCAATATTTAGTATACAGTACTCCCAGTCTTCTTCTGGTTTATTTATATGTACATCTATTCGGTGTGCTCACCAAACATTTGTTTGCTATCAGACTTGACATATTAAGTTCAAGATTCCTGTATAACTAGTCCACCTTTCCATTTCTTGATTTATGTCACGACCCAAAAATGGACATGATGACACTCGTCTTATTCCACAAAGACAAGTCAGCCTAAAACCCAACTAATACAATAAATGTGGAAGTAAAACAAGAAAAAGAGACTAACACCATCTAATAATGCTGAAATCAAAATCAACTCAAACAACACCCTAAAATTTGGTTGTCACGTGTATAAGACTCTCATTTTCCAAAGTGAAAAGAGAAAGAGAGATAATTTGGGAGTTTATATCTCAGATGGTTACTCAACTATGCACTCTTCTTTCAGAAAGTCACTCAACTTCCAATTTTAATTCAAAAGTCACTCAACTATGCATTTTTCTCTGAAAAAGTCACTCAACTTTGAATTTTAACTCAAAAGTCACTCAACTATCTACTCTTTTCTCAGAAAGTCACTCAACCTATTTAATTAAAATTTGCTAATATAATTTTTTTTATATAAAAAACAAAAAATTTAAAAAGTAAAAAATACTATTTAAACCATTTAGTGATCCACCCACTTGACCGACCCATTAAAAAATATAATATTGATCCATTTTATTGACTCTTTCTCCTCCTCCTGCGTTTATTTTTTCCTGATTTTCCATTGTTGTTTTCATTGGTGGTATTGAGGTATTCACCTTCTGGGTTTTCTTTATTTCTTCTTTTTTCTGAATACCCATTTCAAATTTTTAAGTTTGTTTTAGCTCTAGGAATGAGGTAAGAGTAGTGAAAAAGATTCATTCTTTCTTGTTTTATTCATTGCTTCTTTGATACTCTTACATTGCTTCAGATAGATCTATTAATGATTTGTAAGATCAGTGTTTAATCCTCCTTGGGGAATTTGGAGTTTCTTGTGCCCACCAGGTGTTTGTTAAAATGGGGCTATGGGTGCATTTGGTTCAAGCTTTTTCCTGCTTCTTGATTAAGGAAGCAAATGCTACTTTTACTCCTGCTGATAAATATTTGATTGCTTGTGGTTTGTGGATCTTCCAAAAATGTAACCTTTCTTGGCCAGATTTTTGTTCCTGACACACACCATTCTTCAGTTGTTTTGGAAAGTGAAGAAAATTCTATTTCTGCTCGAGAACTAGAAAGAAAAAAACGCACAGGAGAAGGAGAAAGAGTCAATAAAATGGGTCAATATTATATTTTTAGTGGGTCAGGTCAAGCTGATCAGGTCATTAAATAGTTTAAATGAATATTTTTTTTTTTTAAAAATGGTTTTTAAATAAAAAATTTATATCAGCAAATCTTAATTAAAATATTAATTTAATAGATTGAGTGACTTTATGAAAGAAGAGTGGATAATTGAGTGATTTTTGAGATAAAATTTAAAATTGAGCGACTTGAAGAATGCATAGTTGAGTGACCATCTGAGATATTAACTTGATAAGTTAGAGTCAACAAGCATTAAACTGTCTTCTGAATCAGGACAATCTATGCTCCATCACCTAACCAACATAACAATTTAAAATAGTTTCTCTTTGTCCATAATCTCAACAAACTTTATGTATAATTCCCTTATGTAAGCCTACTAACATTTTATATAAGGGAAAAGGATCAAATATGCCCTTAAACTATTTGAAAAGGTTTAGATATATCTCCGTTTAAAGTTTGGCTTACTCGTGTCCTCGCCGTCCAACTTTTCGTCTAGATATACCCTTATGGGCGTTAATTGCCAAATGGAATTGTCACGTCATTTTTACATAACCACATAACATTTATATTAAAGGGAAAAGAGTCAAATATACCCCTAAACTATTCGAAAAGGTCTAGATATACCCCTTTTAAATAAACTACCCGACCCATTTTCAACAAAATAAATTCGGTAAATCCCGAAAATGAGTAATTGACTAATAAAAAATAGGAAAAATATGAAAAAAAATAATTAACGCCAAAAATTCACAAATAAATATAGTAACCTTAAATTCAACAATTTTTTTAAATTTTTATTTTTTTCAATAAATCACGAAAATGAGTAATTGATTAATAAAAAAAAATAATATGAAAATGACTTTATGCTGAATTTTTAGGTTATATTTTTCATATTTTTTATTAATCAATTACTCATTTTCGTGATTTATTGAAAAAAATAAAAATTTAAAAAAATTGTTGAATTTAAGGTTACTATATATATTTATTTGTGAATTTTTGGTGTTAATTATTTTTTTTCATATTTTCCTATTTTTTATTAGTTAATTACTCATTTTCGGGATTTACCGAAAAATTAAAAAAATTAAAAAAAAAATGTTGAAAATGGGTCGGGTAGTTTATTTAAAAGAGGGGTATATCTAGACCTTTTCGAATAGTTTAGGGGTATATTTGACCCTTTTCCCTTTAATATAAATGCCACGTGGTAATGTAAAAATGACGTGGCAATTCCATTTGGCATTTAACACCCATAAGGGCATATCTAGATGAAAAGTTGGACAGCGAGGGTACGAGTGAGCCAAACTTTAAATGGTGGTATATCTAGACCTTTTCGAATAGTTTAGGGGTATATTTGACCCTTTTCCCTTTAATATAAATGCCACGTGGTAATGTAAAAATGACGTGGCAATTCCATTTGGATTTTCGTGATTTATCGAAAAAAATAAAAATTTAAAAAAATTGTTGAATTTAAGGTTACTATATATATATTTATTTGTGAATTTTTGGCGTTAATTATTTTTTTTCATATTTTTCCTATTTTTTATTAGTCAATTACTCATTTTCGGGATTTACCGAAAAATTAAAAAAATTAAAAAAAAAATGTTGAAAATGGGTCGGGTAGTTTATTTAAAAGAGGGGTATATCTAGACCTTTTCGAATAGTTTAGGGATATATTTGACCCTTTTCCCTTTTATATAATAAAGTTAGGTAATCTAATTACAAAGTTCCCTGTCTTGCGTGACACAAACTTAATATACATATATAGTAATTTCGTCTAATTATGGCAAAGCTTCTACTGGTTTATGTCATGGTCATCTTGCTCTTATATACTCAGGTTCAGCCACTAACTACATGGTGGGTGATAATTCTGGCTGGGATATTAGTACTGATCTTGATACATGGTTACTAGGCAAACGATTTGCAGTGTTCTATTGACTTAAATTTTCCTCAAATCCTTAGTTACAATTTACAACTATTGACTCATCTTGTTTTGCAGTGTTCCAGTTTTCGATGTATCATAGTGTGTATGAGGTAAGAAAGGAGATTTTTGATAGGTGCAACATAACAAATACAGTAAAATGGAGCAGTAAAGGCAATACAAGTTTCCCAATAACAGTGCCAGGGGACAGTTACTTCATTTGCGGGAACAGGTTACATTGCCTTGGAGGGATGAAACTTGATGTAAATGTAGAAGATAATATTAACAAGATGGCTTCTCCAGCTTCACCGCCATTACCTCAGGCCGGAGCCTCTAATTTTCCTACACATTCTTCTAAGACCAACAACCCTTCAACTATGGTTCCTCGTTTGGCTAATTTGCCCAACCAAGTTGATTTAGATTCTGTACTTGTCGCAACACTTGGGTTTCCCATTGATTCATTTATATCAATATGTCCAACATTAGAACTGATACAACAGGGCTAGTATAGTTACTATTATGTGGATTGAAGATTAACAAGATTGAAAAATGCGCCTCGTTTATCCTTAAGGTAAGAATAGGTTCCTTTCTCCAAAATCTTCCCCTCTGAAATAAAAGCAATGGAGTCTAAATTCCTGATAGTATTAAGGCGATGCGCCACAACCACTGTCGTTCTTCCAACCATTAGTTGATCCAACGCTTCCTGCACAAGTTGCTCTGACTGAACATCCAGAGCACTCGTTGCTTCGTCTAGAAGTAGTATACTTGGGTTACGTATTATTGCCCGTGCTATAGCAATTCTTTGCTTTTGCCCTCCTGAAATTGTCACACCTCTATCACCACATTCCGTCTCGTATCCATTTTTAAGTGACCTACATTAAACATGTTGTATTAGTCTGTTTGGTCAAACTTCTAAAATTAAGTACGATTTGGTAATAGCTAAAAAGCATATGTACTTACGAAATGAATTCATGTGCATTAGCAGCTTTTGCAGCTTCCACCACCTCATTTTCAGATGCATTAAGTTTGCCAAACAAAATGTTTTCACGGATAGTGCCTGAATATATCACTGGTTCTTGACTCACAAGGGCCATGTTCCTTCTATACCATCCTAAATCGAGTAATCGAATATCCATTCCATCGATTTTCAGTGATCCTTTATCTGCATCGTAAAATCTTTGAATCAACGCAATTACTGTTGATTTTCCGCATCCACTTTTCCCAACCAGTCCAATGCTAGTGCCTGCTTTCACCTCCAGGCTGAATTCGTGCAACACTAGCCTGTCAGGCCGACTTGGATATGAAAAATCAACCTTTTTCATCTCTATTCGACCGGTCATTTTGGTACCTATGCTGTTATTCTTTGCCTAGTTTTGCAAAATATGTTACAATATTAGCTCAAATGATATGAATTGAAGTGAACATTTAAAAAGGATTTAGAGAAGGCCATTTGTCTTATTACCTCATGCGATCCTTCGATCAGTGATTTTCGATCAAGAATGGAAAAAATCGAAGCAACCACTGTTGATCCCTTGGCAAGATCAGAAGTCATGCTTCCAGCTTCAGCTATTACCTTTCCAGTACTGACTAATATAAAGAAAGTCTTGAAGACATCAGCAGCTGATATTTCTCCAGCATTAACTAACTTTCCGCCATACCAAAAATCCAGGGCCCAACAAATGAATGTTAGGCCTTGTGCTGATCCTATACCGATACCAGCTAACCAAGATTTCTTCCTAGCCTCTTTCCTTGGCTCATCCTGTGCCTCATCAAAGATGTCAAGAACCTTATGTATGCTCCCAAATGACGTCACGATCCTATGATTGTAAACAGCCTCTACAGCAATTTGAGTGCTACGACATTGTGCCTTAACAAATTTAGCTGTCATAGTGGATAGTAAGACTTTTCGTGTGTAAAAGCAGAGAATCGTGAGTGGTTGAACAACGATCATAACTAGGGCAAGTTTCCAAGCCACAATTAGCCCCATTACCATAGCAACAGTGACAGCTGAAGTGCTTTGGACCAAGAGTGAAACTCTATCAGCAACAAGAGATTTCACCATGGCTGCTTCATTGCTCAATCGACAACATAAAGCTCCACTTGAGTTCTGTTCCTCATCAAACCAGGCTGCTTCGAAGCTCAAAATCTTCTCGAGCATTTGCAGTCTTATTCTTCTGGTCAGGCGTTCTCCCATGTAAGCGAAATTGTAATGTTGGCATAGATTGAGAACAACTGAGACAAGGCAAAGGATGATGAAAATCATACAGTATTTCTGAATTCTAGATTGCATTTCCTCGTGACTTGGCGAGTAAAAAGCAGAAATCATGCCACCTATGGTTAGTGCATAGACAGGTTGCACTGAACCAAATGCAATGGCTGATAAGATTCCAATAATTCCTTGCTTCCATTCAGGTAAGTTTAACGAAAGGAGCCGAGTGAAGGAAGGGGGAGGATGAGGTGAAGCTTGTATGGGGCAATCCTCAATGAGCAAGGGTGAGGCGGTTACAGCCGGACTTGCTCTCATTCCTGCACTGCTCCTTGCTACTGAAGAAATACGAGGTTCAGCGCTTTGTTCTTGATCGATAGAGCTGAATTGTCTTTGAAGTTTTGCTAGTCTTGCATACTGCCCATCTTTCTCCATAAGCTCATTGTGTGCCCCTAGTTCACTGATGCAACCGTTACTCACTACTGCAATGAGGTCTGCATTTCTTACTGTTGATAGCTTATGGGCAACAACCTGATCATCAAATTCGTTGAAAGGGACCTCGTTATATCTCTCTACATTTCTTTTTATTATTGAAAGTAAGAGAAGAACGGGGTTGATTGCTCAGATGTTCACTCGATTAATAGTTATTATATCAAAAAGTCGTTTTTCTTCTTGATTCTGCTTTTCTTCAACCAAAAAAGTGCCTTTCTAAGATAATACAACTATTAGTCGAGTGACCATCTGAGAAATCAACAGGAGGAGAAAGATTACCAGTGTAGTTCTCCCAACGATAGCTTGATCCAAGGCATTCTGAACAAGTGTTTCTGATTCAGAATCAAGTGCACTTGTGGCTTCATCAAGCAGAAGAATCACAGGATTCTTTATAATGGCTCGAGCAATCGCAATTCTCTGCTTTTGACCACCTGATAGAAGTGCCCCTCTTTCACCAATCTGTCACAATTAATCATGTTAGAACCGCGTATAACAAATGTACATACCTAGTACTATAATGTCACAAGATCATGAACTGACCTTGGTCTCATATCCTTCTGGAAGTTGCGTGATGAAATTATGAGCATTAGCGGTCATTGCTGCAGCCACAACTTCATCCATAGTTGCATCAACTTTCCCAAACATTATATTCTCCCTAATAGATGTCCCAAATAATGCATTTTCTTGACTTACTAACCCCATTTTCCCTCTCAACCATTTCAACTGCAACGACTTTATTTCTACGCTATCAATACATATAGCTCCTGCATTAGCATCATAAAACCGTTGAATCAGGGCAATGACAGTGGATTTTCCACTTCCACTTGATCCAACAAGGGCTACTGTTTTGCCTGCTTCAATTTTAAGATTCAAGTCCTTGAGGACAACGGTATCTGGGCGAGAAGGATATGTAAACATGACATTCCTGAATTCAACCTCTCCTCTAATATCTTCGAGCACGAGTCCCCTTGTGTCTTCACCATCAATTTCTGGTACGCGATCAATCCTATCAAATATTCTCGAGGCAGCAACAGAAGCTTCAGTGAAGTATTTCACCTCAGGCAGAGCCATCCCAAGTGATCTACATAACATTTACCAGTTATTTTTCTCTTTATAAAACATTTGTATCTTAGCAACCTTTGGATTAAAAACCAAAGTTAAAATGTAAGTCTCTGAATAGAGAAATACAGATCAAATGCAGCCATATATCTTTTAAACAAATAAAAGCAATTGGTAAGACATAGTTATATAGTGAAATTAATTTGTAAGTGAGATCAAAATTATATATGCTAATCCAATCATTCATGACATTTTACATAGATTATCTGATGGGAAAAACAAATAGTGCTAGTATGACTAGTCCAATTTTCATATTTCAACGAAATACTCAAATGGTTACTACTGAAAAAACAGGAATTAGCGATAGACAAATTTTATAGATAAACAACAAAATTGGTGGCTAATCCTATTTAGTGACGAATTACCAATGGATTATCACAAAAAAAAATTAGTTATGATTAAATAAGCGACGAAATTCGTAGTTAATTTTAGTTTTTTTTCTTGTAGTAGAGCTTGTCTGAAATTTGATCTTCTCAAAATGAGTTGGAAGAACTTGACAAGATTTAATAGAGTATACGCAGGACACCACATAGGACATAAATCACCATGTAGGATGCCATGTAGGAAGTGTGTCTATTTGTTCAATTTTATACAAGTTTAAGTACCTACTCGTGCACACCCAAAATTAGAGGGTATAAATGTAAAATAAGGTCAAGTTAAAGAGCACATTTATGCATTACGTCTATATTTTATTTAGACAATTGAATTATAGTTAATTCTAATTGAGCACCTAAACACATAATAAAGCATTCCTATTAGACATCTTCGACGACTCAAATTCTGGAAAAAGCATTTGCATGTGTTCTCAAGAGCTCATTACATTAATAAGTTAACCACATAAAATATGCCACCATCTTTGATTATACACACCTCAATTGGAACAAGCCTGCAACTTTACGACTTAATGAGGCTAATGCATATGACTAAAGGAGGTGAAATATGTTAAGTGGTTAACTTATCTACATAATGGATAGTTGAGAACCCACACAAAAACATTTCTCAAAATTTAAACTAAAAATGTCTAATAGGAATACTTTATCAGATATTCAGATAGTTGAAATGTCTAAATAAAACACATTAACAAGTTTAAGAGGTTGTCAATGTATCGGAGTAAAAAGGCACTTACAATCCACCCAAGACAAAAGAAACCCCAGCTGCATAAATTCTACCCCCACTTTCTCCATTATGCATAATCAAATGACTTCCATACCAAGCAAGTAAAGCCCATATAGCAAAAGACAACCCTGTGCTACCAACAGCAAGACCTTTTGCAATTCCTTGTTTCATTCCCAACTTTATTGTTCCATCAAGAATCAATGAGTATCTTTCAATCACACTCTTCTCAGCAGTGAATGAATATATTGTTTTAATAGAGCTAAGTGCTTGCTCTACAATACCATTTGCTTTGCTATATTCTTTGAAGGATTTTCCAGATAAATAGAGTAGATATTTACCATAGATTAAACCAGGGATTATGAGGAGAAATATTGTTGGTAAGGCAACTATAGCCAATCTCCATGAGAAGTAGGCTGAAAATACAATTCCTGAGATGAAAACTGTTGTGTGCATAACAAATAGAGGTACCTGCATATATATGACTATAAAAGTTACCAAAACAGTTTTTCTAGTATGACCAAAAGTCATTGTTCTTCTGTATTGATTTCTCATATGGTCACTCAACTAATACTT